GACCGGGCTGACCGCCGGGAGTGGCTGAGACAGACCGACCGGGACTGACTGCCGGGACGGAGGCAGGATGGGTGGCCCGGGCCCCTCCCAGCTCCAAAGAACTGTCTGGTGCAAGTTTTCACATCACACTAAGTGAAAACGCAGGAGCTGCGGTTGGAACGCGCTAAAATAGGGATTTACTGATTTGACAAAACCAAAGCAGCCCCCAAACCCTCCACCAGCACCACAGATACGTCTTGAAAATGTGGAAGTTCTCGGGACCCAGAGAGCACCCTAAATGGACTTAAATAGTGATTTTACTTCGAGCAAGATGATGGACCCTTCCCAGGCGGGTTATTCCGTGCGTGTGTGGTGAACTGGCGCCCAGACTGTGTGTGCCCACACCAGCAGCGCCTGTTCCCCATCCCTCCTGGGCGTTCACCTCCTTTTCCGTGCTCGCTCTGTGCCTCCCGCTGCTGTCGCGTCTCGGGTTTGTGAGCAGCTCTGCTGGGAGGTGACCGCAGCTTTTCGGTGCAGCCCCGGAGCTCTGCACGGACCAGCTGCTGCGGTATTCTTTGGGTACTCATATATACATATAAAATAGAATAATCACATTGCATCTTTATGAGATTTTGTTTCCTCAGGCAGCCAAGAGACTGGGTATATGAAATAACAAAACCTTTGCTTTTTTTTAAAGCTTCTCCTGCCCAACTAGGGCCCCAGGCTTTACTTGATCCGTATGGGATTGCTGCAGGAGCCAGGAGTGCTGCTCCAGCCTGTCCTTACCTTGTGTTTATCGTGGCTGGCAGGAGGAACAGACTCTGGCCTTAGGGACGGACACACATCCGCGGAAATGCTCCCTCCAGACAGGCATTCCTCCTGCGTATCACACAAAGGGACCAGGCTGCTCATTGAGGAGACCAAGGGTATAATTTGGAAGAAATGAACCAACGTAGCTGTGTGCATGGCACAGAGCCGCCCATGCTACACCCGGACTGGGCGGGCAGATATTCAAGTCTGGGTGTCTCCGATGCATGTTTAACCCCGCGGAGCTGCCGGGAGCTGCACTCCGAACACCCCAACTGCTCCATCGCGGCGTTTCCCGGAGCTCCCCGGCACACCCAGCCCGGCGGGGGGAGCCCACGGGAATTCCTTCCCCCACACGGGGTTTGCGGGCTGGGCTTTCCCTGAGAGCAGACTTCTTCTGATGGCACTTTTCTTTAAACTTATGCACTCATTGCTCCAGGGCCGGCACTACTCTGGCACTTCCCTGGCCGGAATTTTTGTACTCAAAGTGCTGATCCAGGAGGGACATCACACACAACACAGTGGGGACGCTGATATGGAACCGGGATAAAGCTGCACCAAAGGATTGTTATTACTGAGGAGGAGGAGGAGTCACAGAATCCCTTCACACATGAATGACTTGGTTTGAGTCATTCCTCCACATTTCAGGTAACAATTTTGTAGACACATGTTGTATCAGAAGCCTTATATGACACTTAAAGGCTGAGTTCACAACCAGGTATGTTGTTCTTCAAATTCTTCTAAATACAGATAAAGCCAACCTTCCCCAGTTAAAGAAACCATTTCTAAAAAATCAGAAGAAATTATTTATTTTCCAGGAACACTCGATTTATTTATCTTTGAAATAGTGTTCTTCAAGTCATGTTTCTTTTACCACAGTGTCTGTGGCATTTTTGTCCTAGAACTTTCTCATAGAGTGGTATGAAATGAAATTTATTCTTACAGGAAAGTATTTAACCCACAAATTTATTCCCCAAAGTATTAAAAAACATACAAAACTATCTATCAAATTAATTACATACACTAAACCTTGTTGTGCATGTGCATAATAATTATAGATCCATTTTTAGCTTAGTGAAGTTTGTCCTTAAAAATTACTGAGGGAGCTTCACAAGGAATCCAAATGCACAATTGTAGCACTACAGAATTTATCACACTACTGGTACAATTTAACAATCATAAATACATTGTTAAGTATATTTAATACATTTTATTGTACTGAACACATTTTAATTGTGTTTAATATATATTCATTGTGTTTAACGCATTTTAAGTACCTCTGCCTGAATATGCAGACCCATAAGTAATTTTTATATTTTTAATAGTTTGCAAAAAATACAGGATTTTCTTTTACTTTTATTAGTAATTCACAGAGTTCATGTAATTAAGAGTTGAATCTAATGGTATTTATCCCCTGTATAAAACCACACAAAATAGTGAAACTAATGGTGTTATGCACATCACAAACTAAAATGCAGTATGAAAATCCAGTAGCAGAATGTCATGTCCTTTTGGTGGCATTGGATGTGTCATTCATCCCAAAACATAATTTCTGTGGTAAGCAAGCTCTAAAATAAGACTTCGCGTTCTAATTTTTGTCAGTGTGGTACTTGAATGGAGTGTGCGCTGCATTAAACAGGAACCCGAGTGTTCGAGTCTGGAGGGCCATGGGGCGCTTGTGCTGGGAGGG